TAAGTTTACTTCAGTTGAGTATTGGTTTGTAAACTATTTAAAAGATTCAGTGAGAATCATCAAGAGTTTTGATTGGAAGTAGTTAGATGGAATTCTAAAAAATTTTAAAACTGAAACAGTCTGATTTTTGGACTGTTAAATCAAGTTAAGTGTATACAGAACTGACAAAAGTGAATGAATCAATTAGTGATTATTTTGATTAGGACGGAAATTTATAAATGATAGAGAACATTACAAGACTTTTGATGTTAAAAGATTTAAAATGCAGCGTATTATTAGTGTATAATTTATGAATCATTGATGTCAAAACATCTAATTTCACTCTGGTATTCCATTTACATTGTATTCATAGAGACCATAGAAGAAATCACGAAGAGAGGTGGAAGTGGTCCAAAGACGAAAACAGAGATAGGTAAAGTAGTATATTTTAGATTGTAAGCAAAGTTATTCATAGGATCATAGTGGAACGCACGACTCAGGTTTTGATATATTTTATTTTATGTCTTATCAAATGTTTAATACGAGTAGGTTCTCTGATATGTTTATGTTTTTGGCGAAGTTCACTAATGCGATCATGATTGACACGAACAAAACCCGGTGGAAACTGACATCAAAAAGATCATGGAAATATAGAGAACTTAGAGTGGAAAAACGTTCATTCATGCAAGAATTATATTGAAGAACGTATCGTATTCTGTTTCTGAAATCAGATAATTGAATAATTTTTTTGTTAATTAATATTGAATTGTATGATTTCATTTTAACAAATCACATATACTATTTCTATAGAGACCATAGAAGAAATAACTAAGAAAGGTGGAAAAGGTCCGAAGACGAAAACAGAGATAGGTAAAGTAGTACCTTTACACAGTTTTCATAAAGATCATTGACTTATTTTTCCTGTTTAGCATTATTTGAACAAGTTAAATTTCTACGGGATGTGGCCTTTAAATCCATACCCAACTTCGTTCCTTTATCAGGGCTTGTGGTTTGCAGTAACTCTAGAAGGGTTAAAGGCAGAACAAGTTGAACTTTGCCAATTACATAGCGTTTTTATCAGACACACTATAATAAATGCGACAGAAGACGACCACTGTATCAGCAGCCTCTTTAGCCCTAGGTCTCAACATACAATCGGAAATAAGCAAGATCCTCCGATGAAGCACAACATGCACCAAACAAATCACTCATGATGCAGAAGCTTTAGATGTGTAAACTTTTACATACCTGAACAATATAACTGATAAAGAATGTGAATCTGATTCAGATAAGAAGGCAAGGATTAGCAATGCAACGTTAGTATTTCTACAATTGAAGAACATCTGCAATTGAGAACAACTAAAAACAAACACACCTAAGTCACAATTTTCAACTCAAAAGTCAAGACATTTTTAACGTATTGGGCGAACCATGAAAACCATTATCCCCAACATACAGTTGTTTATTAACAGTTTTTTGAGCAAGATACTGAGGATCCGATGTCCAGACACCATTAAAACCTGCTGAGCCTGAGGGTACACCAGACTGCAGCTTAGGAAGAAATCAGGAGGAAGCTATGTAGGTGTATAGAACACATATTGAGTAAATCATCCAACTGCAGCGCGAGGCAGGCTCCCACTCGGAATCCTTAGCGTCATAAGAAAAGTAGTAGACCAAGGAACACAATGTACTGAGTATGGGAGGCAGCCATGGAAAGAATGAGTGGCATTTGGATATAACTGGAAAGGAATGGCCGGTACAAAGTAGGTTGGAGAATGCTGATCTAGAGCCTATGGTCAATTTAAGGTAACAAGCATAAGTAATTATTAGTGAATAATTTACGAATAATTGATGTCGAAACATCTAATTCCATTTTAATATTCCATTTACATTGTGTTCATAGAAACCATAGAAGAAACAAAGAGGAAGAGAGATGGAAGTGGTCCAAAGACGAAAACAGAGATAGGTAAAGTAGTATATTCTAGACTATAAACAGTTATCCATTGGATCACAATGAAATAAAAGACATGGGTTTTGTCGTAATTTAGATTCACTAATTTCGTTGTTCACACCAAGACTCAAATCTAGTACTTTCAGCTTCAAACACTTAACGCGTTGCTCATTTGTTTGTCATTATTTTTAATTATTTTGTGTGAAAGATATTCAGCTAACAGGTAACAATTAGATATAAATGTGAACATGGCATTCCACTGTTAACAACTATCTAACTATGTTAAAAGTATTTCTGACTTGAATGAAATATGGAAATAATCCACTCAGGATGCACATCTGTCAAAAACAAACGATCAAGGGGAGGCTTATCTAACTCTTAAAAATGAATCAATACTTGAAGTTTATTAAGTGACAGATCACATCAGATGTTCTTTAAGTGAGATAATTTTTTAACGACTGTTAGGTTCTCTAAAGTGTGTAATTTTCTGGTAAAACTTGGATTTCTATTCATGAGTAATACGATCAGAACTCGAAAGAAAATGGCCATCACATAGATCTTAACTAAATGGAGGGCATTTGAATGAACCATATGTTTTTATTGAAAATCAGGTCTTTTGTCTGAAAACTAAATGTCTGTTACATTGCAACCGTGAGACTTTACTAGAAACCGTAACTTTACAGTTAAGGTAGTAAGATGGAATTCTAAATAATGTTGAAAATTGAAACAGTCTGATTTTTGGACTATTAAATCAAGTTAAGTGTATACAGCACCGACAAAGATGAACCAACTAGAAATAATTCTGAGTTAGACGGAAAAATTTAATTCCTCAGTAAAACTACCAGTGTTCGTATATAAAATGATTAAGAAGGCAGTGTATTATTAATGGATAGTTTATAAATCATTGATATCAAAACATCTAATTTCACTCTGATATTCCATTTACATTGTTTTCATAGAGACCATAGAAGAAATCACGAAGAGAGGTGGAAGTGGTCCAAAGACGAAAACAGAGATAGGTAAAGTAGTATATTTTAGATTGTAAGCAAAGTTATTCATAGGATCATAGTGGAACGCACGACTCAGGTTTTGATATATTTTATTTTATGTCTTATCAAATGTTTAATACGAGTAGGTTCTCTGATATGTTTATGTTTTTGGCGAAGTTCACTAATGAAATCATGATTGACACTGATATTCCATTTACATTGTTTTCATAGAAACCATAGAAGAAACCAAGAGGAAAAGAGATGGAAGTGGTCCAAAGACGAAAACAGAGATAGGTAAATTAGTATATTTTGGATGATAAGCAACGTTATTCACAGGATCGTAGTAGAATTCAGCGCTTAGGTTATGAGATTGCTTTTTTTATCTTATATCAGATGTATAATAGGTGCAAAAATTAGACTGCAGCTTTTATGGTCTCATATGTGTGTAGTATCGTCAAAATTTAACTATTGCCTTCCTGATTGACACGATCTAAACTAAATGAAAACTGATATCACAAAGGTGTTAGAAATACCAAAAACATTTACAGGAAAATCATTCATTTATTTAAGTATTTAGTTCATTTATAAATTATATTCTATTCGCAAAATCAGATAAATGAATTACTCATCCATAATTGAGTATTGAATTATATGATTTTATTTTAACAAATCATATACATTTATTTCTATAGAGACTGTAGAAGAAATAACTAAGAAAGGTGGAAAAGGTCCGAAAACGAAAACTGAAATAGGTAGTGATTTATCTTATATAGACTTTTTTATATTTTTTGTCTATCAAACAACAGTGTATTAAATACACAATGCTCTTAGAAGCTTAGCGAAAATAAGCTAATCCGCATGTGAAGGTTTTAAAGTTAATTTTTTTATGTTTCTGATACTTAATTTCCCCTTCAGAACTTTGGATAACAATCACTTTTGACGTTGTGATTTTTGATTAAATTAATAAGCTGTAAAAAACAAAGAAATGTCTTAGTTGATGGTCTCAACTTTTTTTCAATAAACTGAATCGTCTCTAATTTGACACAGATCACTTTGGTGCATCAATTACCGTTATCTTATTTGTGTGATTTTGGCCAGCTGATAAGCATTCATCGGATAAGTCGTATTATAACAATTAATAACTAATGGTGTTGTAATTGAACAGAATCGATCATTTGTATATACACAAGTTAGATAATTAATATTGTACTTCTTGAAATTATTTTATTATCACTCTTAGTCACTCATTTCAAATGATTTCCATTAAAAATAGAATCACTCAACTGTGTTATATGTGTTTCTGAACATAATTCTGATAGACTAGCTATTTTTACGGAATATTCTCACATAAGTCACTGATATACTGATATACATTATGGAAATAAACAATAAAAGTCTTGAAGATAACTTTTATGTAAACAGTGATAATGAGATAATATAGCTGAAATGTTCAGACTGTAAAGCTTTTTGCTATGTATCTATTAACTTGTCGGAAAATGCTCCTAAAGAAGTGTAGGGCACATTCAACATTATTGTCAAAATTATACCAACAAAATGGCTTAAAATATGTCAACTTCAATAAATTGTACCTCGTCAACTGACATTTTTTCAACAATTTCAAGTGAATAAATGGATGATCTCTTAACTATCAATTTTTATCATTTTCACAGAGACAATTGAAGAAATCGAGAAAAAGAAAGGTGGGACTGCTCCTAAGAAGACAGTAGAAATAGGTAATGATGTATATATATATATATATATATTCACTCAAATTTTATTCAAAGATGCTTAGTTAAATTTGTCATTCAATAATTTTTAAACAAACATTAGGCACGCTACTGTGTATGTTGATCGATGAACAGTTTACTAATATAGAACTTACCTAAACCTAAACTTTGTATGCAGAAAAATTGACCGTAGCTTAGAAATGATATCATTCTGTATAACCTTTATACTTAGAAAACTGATAAGGAACTAATTCGAAGAAAACATTACTTCACTCAACTTTTGCCTTTAATTTGTTAAAGAGAATAATTCTTAAATTGAAATTCGTAATTTGAGTTTAATTTTGACTATAATAAATGAGACCAAAGCTAACTACACTTTTTAATTGTACCACAGAGACAGTAGAAGAAACCAAGAAGAGGGGAGGTGGAAAAGTTCCGAAAAGGACAATAGAAATAGGTAATAATATGTATTGATTAAAATTCCAGTATTCGATGTTCAATAAATTTTAAGTTTTATACGCCAGATATTATTGATGAGGATGACGAAGGCCGGATGTCGAAATATATATATATATATATATATATATATATTAGAGACAGAGAAAATCTTTAAAAAGAAAGGGGAACGAACTCCTGAAAAGACAATAGAAATAGGTATCGACGCTTATTTACCAACTGAGCATTGATGAACTATGATGATTTCCTCTTTCGTTGTATTTTACCAAGCCTCTTGACAATAACATTAAAGATTTTAGGGAGTGAATAAATTATTCTTAATGTTCTATTGTCAGAGTCATTATAATTATCAAATGATCAAATATCAATTTCATCATACTTCCTTTATTAATATCACAGAGACAGTTGAAGAAACAAAGAAACGAGGTGATAGAGATCCAAAGAAGACAATAGAAATCGGTAATGTGATATACATTATTAGTGAAAAACACATTTTCAATGAATATCTCCTTTTTCAATTCGAATTCAAGTATTGAGACGTTAAGGGATTGCATTGCTCTACGACATCCTTTAGGGATAATAGCATATACGAATCTTTGCTTTTTTAATTTCATGTTATCAGTCAGAGTAATTTCGAGAGCAATAAACAATCAATTTCTGGTACACTTATCCAAGGGAATATAGCTTTTAAAAATACAATATTTTTCATTCTCTAGGATAATCATATAGCATGTTAACTTTCATCAGTTTATACTTTGTAAACAAAGGACAGTGAAATGTTGCATATTATTTTACTCGAATAATTCTATTTGTTTTCCAGAAACTGAAGAGGAAACCACTAAAAGGAAAGGTAGACCAGCACCAAAAAAGACGATAGAAATAGGTAATGTCACATTTTTAAATCTAAAAGTTCACAAATGTATATTATACTGAGTGTTTTTTTTATCAATTTGTGTTGATGCATAATCGCTTATAAAGTAAATTACGTCTACTCAGAGATGCCACAAAGTTAAAGGATAAAAATTCAGTGACATGACTATTTTCTCATCTTAGATGACAAATTTTATCAAGCTGGCCAACAGATCGACATAATTTCTAGTTGGAAATGGCCAACAAAAACACTATGTAGCAACACTTTTGGAACCAAATACTAGTTAAAAAAAACCCTAATTACCATATTACTGTGTGTACTTACATGTTGAGCCCACTTGGTTTTTCCTAGCTTCTGGATAAACTAATTAACCTTTTCTACCCAAGTTACTATTCACACATCTTTTGGCCTTGTCAGTTATTCGCCTGTAACTTGATTATATTTGCACACTGAAATCATCAATCAATCATTGTTAGACCATCAGTAGAAACCTGGAGGCACAGGACGTCCTGGTATGGGACTCATCGGCAGTACGCATCCACGACTCCTGCACCTCACAGGATTTGAACGCAGGACCTTCGGTCTTGCGCGCGAACGCCTAACCTCCAAACCACTGGGCCGGCATCCAACGGTGTTAATGTCTAACTCTGATCAATCTACAGATTATTTTTGTGTATGTGCGTATGTGTATTGCTTACTTTCTAGCTGACTATAAATACCTGGCCAAGCGTCTTCACATTAAATTGATCTAATCAGCCTCTATACTTCGCTTTACATTCTATTTTCCGTCTGGTTTAATGAATGACACAGACAAGTTTATCCGTTAAAACCATATTAGGCTGTTAATAACCGTAGTCGCACAAACGAGGTTCGCCTATGAATCATAAACGGAAATTGTAGGGAAGATTTATTTCTTACCACATTCAACTGTTTGTCTGAACTAGAATCAGATTTCGGGCCAGTAAACCATCAATAATGAGTCATTTAAGAATAATAGTGTGCAGCTGAATATGGCTTTTATTTGCTTTTCAGAAACTGTAGACGTAAGTACAAAGAGGGGAGCTCCACGTGCCCCAAGAAGGACAATAGGAATAGGTAATGCCACATTTTTACTTAAATTTTTTCTCGTTTGTTCTACGTCCTTTTATGGTTGCCTAAATTGACTAAACATTGTATTTTCGAGTATTTAGTATACATTAAATTGTTTGATGATTGAATAATTTTTCTCAGCATTGGATGAGAAGTGAAACTGCAAAGTAATAAAAATACTTTTTAAACATAAGATTGACAAAAGTGTAAATTCACTAAAACTGAATACTGATGTGAAATATATTTCAAATAATAAAATACATTTTGATGTGCTTAAACTTATTATTGTTTTTCATTAAATTACTTACTTACCTACTTATGCTTTTTACCTCCAGTGGAGCATTGGCCGTTGACCAGTATTCTCTAACCTACTCTGTCCACAGGGCTGTCTTTCTAGTTCTATTCAATTGTTACTCATTCTTATCATGTCTGTCTCCATTTATCGGCATAATGTGTTGTTTGGTCTTCCTCTTTTCCTTTGACCTTGAAGGTTCTAAGCCAAGGCTTGTCTTATGATTCAGTTGGGTGCCTTCTTCAATGTGTTTCCTGTTTTGTATTACATTGAATGTAAGCAGTTTACTCATTTAATAGAATATTTGCCTTCTCTATTTTTATAGAAACTGTAGTGGATACAACCAAAATTGGAGTACCGAAGCGTAGAACTGGAATAGGTTTGTTTTTTTTCCTTCCAAAAAGTTATTCAAATATTTCTACTCTTAGATGATTGATTTAGCTTATAGTCATTCATTTTAACTTTGAGTCATAATTTATCACTTCAAAAAATACACCAACATACATCTGGTTGACAAATTTGTCTAAAGTTCGAAAAAAAATTACCCACATTACAAAGTTTTAGATAGTAGTATTACCATGCTATATTTGAGTGATATTCAGATGATGATAAAGATTTTAAACAAAATTTGTTAAATTTTGCCGTTTTTTTTCGTTATTTGTTTACAGAAACTATAGTGGATATCACGAAGAGACGTGGTTTACCGAAGAGGAGAATAGGAATAGGTATTATTACAAAAATTTTCCATGTCAGCATCATGTGCTGTTATTGCATTGTTATTATATGTTTCTGTCTGCATGTCGAATCGTTATCATTCCAGTTAATGCAGCTTTTTTCCTAAATGTTAATAAAAAGATTATTCGATTTTTTTCTACAAAATAACTGGATTGTCTCATGTGATGAAAACTGAATTCTAGCTAAAAATTTGTATGAGTTATGCATTTCGCTTATCCAATTGTAACACATTGATTTTTTAGTATGTTGGAATTACTTTCATTCAGTTCTTCTTTATTGTTAATTTATTTTTCAACTATAGAGGCTGTAGTAGATGCAAGAAAGAGAAAGAAAATAATAGGTAATTTCTTAGTTCATTTCGCTACATCATTGAATGGAATTTGAAACATCAAATGTAAAGTTTTTTTATGATTTGTGAATATTAAACTTGAAATTATTTTAGCGATAGAAATGTAAATAATTTCAACATTTCCTCTAGACCAGATTGCTAGATAATCGTATCGATAATTTCAGGTATGATTTTCACAAATAAGATCTTTCATATACTCAACTCCAGGTTTCTCTCAAACTATTCGTTCAAATATTGAAGAACAACGTTTTGTTTAAATCCAATCACATATTTGTTAGGGAAGTTTAAAAATAGACCTCGTCATAGCCTCTATAAGCCTGGAAGTTCCAGAAAGTGTTTTATTTGATCAGTATTGAATAAAACCTTCTCTAGAACATCTGAAAATGATAGAACCACATTCCGTAGTTTTGACTAGGTATTTACTGGTACTGCCACTTAACTCAGTATAGTTCCCTTACCTCCAAGAAGCTCGAGATCATGAATAACTATAAAACTAACCTTGGGTTAGTTTATGTAAGTTTTGGATATAAAAAACCCGTAAAATGAAACTAGGAGTGGATAGCGTGGACATTTCACACCGTTACAAGTTTTCTTTCTGTGCTTCCCACCTTTTCTCTTGTGTTCAAGCTGTTGCGTAGATTTAGTCTGCGGTCATTAGAAACGGATAAGAAATCAGATCTTGAATTCATTGAGTAAAATTATCAATATTATATTTGCATTTCAAGATAATTAAAGTGTTACCTCCTATGCTAAGTATGATTCAGATAACTGATATATATATATATATATATATATATATATATATATATATATATATAAATTATAAAAATTATAACAGAATTTGATCCAGTTTAGATCCATAATCAGGTTTTTAGATAAAGTTACATACCTCATGTAACATTCATTTTCGGAAGGTATTATCAGACCGAATGTCTGTAAATAAATGATAATTGATATCTTTCATTTTTGTCTCTATCTTTATGATTATAAAACACAGATTTTCCTTCATATTTCCAGGTACAGCCATTGATGCAGTAGAAGTTTTATTCCGCCCACCAAAACGACGCAAAGGTAGATTTTTGCCTAATATAGTTTTGGCTTTATTTTATTTAAAATTGTAAATTTTAAATTGTAGTAATTCATCAGACCAGTTTTTCTCAACGTAGAATTTTATACAATAAAAGGAAAATAATCCCTCCGATGTTGTTCATTCATTTTCATTTATCACTAGTGTAAGTAGCTTAAATCTCAACTAAACTATAAAATAAAGAGTTGAAGTTGAAATTGTGCACTCAAAACAACAAGCCATTGTTAAGAAACACTAAACGCTAAAATGTTATATTATCAACATTTATTTACAGATATTTTTGAATATTAGTCAACAGTATTTTCGATTGACTAAATTTTATACACTTTAGTTATATATTGAAATGTAGACCAACTAACTGACCTTCAAATCTTTCCATTTATTTGGATTTTAGGTGGTATCAAGATAGCCGGTAGACGAACTGGCAATCAACATATACGCGTACATGTTGGCGGAAAAAGGAGATGTGGTGGTGGCATTAGAGTACGTACAGGAGGATGTTGTCGGGTTGGCGGAGGCTGCAGGGTTCGTGGATGTTGTCGGCCTCGTGGATGTTGTCGGGTTGGTGGATGTTGTCGGGCTCGTGGATGTTGTCGGGCTCGTGGATGTTGTCGGGCTGGTGGATGTTGTCAGGCTCGTGTTTGTAGTGCGTGCCATCCTGCTTCTGGATAACAAAGTCGCTGCTGAAGATAGTTTTTTCAACACTTAACTTAATGGAGTTTTGTTGTTCTTGTATAAGTGATAATAATTGTTATTTAAATAATTTGTTGCATTTCACGTTACTGAGTAATAAAACCTCAAATCATTATAATATAAGTAGTGTTTTTCGCTCGTAAAGTGTTAGAATATCATGGTTGCCAATGTCGATCAGAAACTTTTATCGTCATGGAATAAACAGTGAATAGACTGACAATTATAATTAAAGTCTAGATACCATAATATGTTCAAAAAACATATTAGAAATCGATATCTTTTCATTGCGTTTCTTGCGAAAATGTAATACTAAGAAACTTGCCAAATTCATTTTAACTCTCAGCAATTAATTCCTGGCCTTTAATGATCTGCTCAATGAATAGTAAATTACCGTGGATAACAACTGGAAAGAGATCAAAGAGGCAATAACTTCAGTATGTCATGAGGTTCTGGGCACAAGAAATGCCATTATAAGGAATGAATTATTGTTGATATTCTGGGCAAGATTTCAGAAAGAAATAACAAAAAGACAGCAATCGACAACAACCAAACAAGAGCAGAGACGACTAAAGCAGATGTTGAAATATACGGAAGTAAACTATCAAGTGAAGAGAAGCATTAAAGCTTACAAGACGAAATATATGGAAGACTTAGCAATGATAGCAGAAGAATCTGAATGAGAATGAAATATGAGACAACTATACGATACGACGAAGAAGCTCACTGAAAAATATCGTAAACCAGAAAGCTCAACCAAGATCGAGGAAGGCATAGCAAACACTGACATCCAAGATCAGCGAAACAGGTGGGTAGATGTGGTGTTTGAATGAACTAGTAACTTCTTGTTGTTGTGGAATGCTTGATTTCGAATTCTAAATACAATACATTCGTTGGTGCAGTTCTTTAATTCTTGATTTATATACTTCTAAGTATCACAGTGGCGTCGCGATGGAACTTGTAATGGAACAGCTAGATATTCATTCTACTTCTGAAGCTTTTGAAGATTATTTCGAAAGGTTTGAAATCTGGAGTATGACCAGGAAAGATGTCAAAGATGATAAAATTGTGGCTCATTTCCTAACATTCATCGGAAAAGAAGCGTACAGCTTATTGAAAACCTTGGCATATCCAGAGAAACCTATTTCACTTCCCTATGCAATGCTAAAGGAGTTATTATTGAATCATGTAAAGTGCCCTGGTTTTGAATGCCGTGAAAGAGCGAAATTTCATAAGATGATTCGTCAAAATGACCAAAATGTTAAGGAATTTATTCTTGAATTGCAGAAACAGGCTGTCAAATGTAATTTCGGTGATCAACTTCATGTGCAGCTGAGAGACCGATTAATTGCAGGAATTAACATACCTAGTTTGGAAAGAGAGCTGTTAAGAATGTCAAACTGTTCCTTTCAAGATGTTAGAACTGCGTGCATTAACTACGAGGCGTTGAATGAACTTGATATTCAGTCGATGAAGATTTCCAATACTTTGATTAGTTGTCATGATGAAAAGCAATCTCAGGGTCAATCAAAAATTGTGTTCGTTTAACAGAGGTTCCTATTCTCGTGTAAAAATGAACGGTGTCTCAAAAAAGAATTACAAAGGAAATCAAAAAAGTGAGACCAAGTTTGGCAAATGTTTATCATGTGGAAAACTTCATTCTCGTTATTATTGTACATTTCGTAATGCTAAGTGTTTTAGATGTGGTAAGATAGGTCACATTCAAGCAGTATGCAAAGCTACTGTTCATTTTGCCTCAAGTAGTACTAAAGCTTGTAATTTACATTCCAATAATTCAGTTGATCCTAATGATCATTTATCTTTGTCTACCATTTCGAAAGGTAATGCTCATATTCAAAAGCGACTATATACATCACTTGGTTCATTTCATGACTTTATTGTGGACACAGGCAGTATAGAGTCCATTATTTCATTCAAGAACCTGAAATCGTTAGATCCGAACGTTGTGATACGACCCACTGAAGTATCAATATTGGGGATTACTGGACACAAACTGCCTATACGAGGATGTTGTGAATTGCTAATAAGAGATGATACTTCCTCATATATACCTTGTGAATTTTTAGTTAGTGAAACAGGACTGTCAATACTGGGTTTAAAGAATTTGAGAAGACTTAAAGTGGAGTTGTCTTTCCTAGTTTCTAAAGAAAATTCTGATGCTTTACTTAAAGATTTGATAGCCACGTGTGCTAAGTGCAATGGAAGTATGAAAATGGTTCAGCACGGGAGTGCCAAGCAAATTCAACAGGTTGACTACATTTCTCGACAGTCATTAAATGCAGATATTTGTCGTACAGCAAAGAATTGCGAAAAGTGTCATAAGCTGAAAAATCAGCATTCGAGGTTGAGTGATTCTATTGTCGCCTCAACATTTAATGAGCTGGAGAGGGGAGTAGATACCTTTCTACTGCAATATAGAAATGCCAGACATTCGGTGACGAAAGAGACTCCATCAAAACTATTAAAAGGAAGAATTCTTCGGTCGAATATGAGATGTTTGGAGTCTGCAGAAGTTACATATTATCGTGGCAATGAACTTCGACCATCCACGGGGATCGTTCAGAAGATTGGCGGGAAATCTATGGTGCGAATTCTAGATATCAATGACTTAAGTACACATAATCGACATGTTGATCAAATACAATTCCAAGAGCCAGGTGAGTCTGTTCCAATTTCGGTTGTTAATTCTAATACTAATGAGAGCATTCTAGATAATACAGAGGTAGACTAAATACTCTATGTACCGAGAATGGGAGACAAATGTGAAGCGAAAAGATAGCATGAAAAGGAAGGCTCAGGACGTAGTAGGTTGGAGAATGCTGATCAATGGCCTATGATTCCCTAGGGGTAACATGCGGAAGTAAGTAAGCATGTAAGTTCTTACGAAAATCAACAGAATTATCGCTGATCACTAAATTACCAATCGTCTTTTGAAATGTTTATTTGGCAGTTTAAAGCAATCTAGGGTTACCCGGTAAACTAATCACACTTCCAAAAGTTAAAGTAGAGTTTAAAAACATCAAAGAGTCAGGTCGTTGCATCTACGCTAGTCATGAGCACTAGCCTCACCATGTACAGAGTGAGATCACTTTGTTAAGTATGACACTGGCTCAGTTTCGGTTATGATTAATAATGTCATACTAAACAATCAGCAAAATACTTATTCCTTGTAGAAGTATTTCTAATATTTATTAAATTCATGAAGATAGATAAGACAATGTATGTCAAAAATCATTAAGAAAGCACAGGCTAAAAAAAGCTTTATTTGTTAACAAAGTTTGGTTGAGCAGCAGGAGACTGTGAAAATGTAGGAACATATTATTTACATATGATTGAAGTAGATGTAAGGTCTTTTGTGCATGGGCTTTTATGTGTATGTTTGTTTAGGAAATTCCCCTTGTGTATGGATTCCAAATAACAATAACTCTGTTTTTACTTTTAAATATAAAATTGTTGTTTTCTGTTCTATCATTGACATGTTTATGTTTTGACACTGAATAAATTATTATTATTCATTTTACTTGCAATCTGAACTTTCAAAGTATTACTTTATTTGCTGGTTTTTACTGACTGAGAACATTTTATTTCAACTGAACACACATTAACTTTTTGGTTTTTAATTGTGATTGCTTGAAATGATTGAAATAAATCATTGCATAACGCTAACATAGTCTTTCCAGGTTATTATTTGTGGGTTCTTTTTAGTAAGAAGATAACTCATACACATTCTATGAAGATAAATTATTGAATATTATTTCATGGTATAAGTTTTATACGAAAATTCGACTGTATGCTTCTGACTTGTTGAGTTGTTCGTTCTTTGGCTCACAGAATTACGTCTATGTATGTTCACGAACTTACCTGTTTTCATTTCATCGACAATTTACTTAATCTAATATTATTTTCAATCCTTGATATTACTGTTTTTTTGTTTAATAACTGTTTCGGCTTAATAACTTTCCAGCATTATTCATTTAGGAAGTTTGGATGACTTAAATTTGTAATCCTTTTAATTAGGATCGTACCAAACCCTACCATTATAATTTCAGGGAAACTGTCTATTGTTCGACTGCAGTTCATAAGGAATTAAACGATATCATTTTGGACGTTAAAGTATGTATATATATACAATCAGCAGGATTCTCAAAAACTTACAATAGTTAGGCTTCAGTAAAAACCTTCAGGGTTACTAAGTCACATGGTAGGAAATATTTCTCAGTGTAAGAACACTGCGTTATTTATCAAAAGGACAATGATATCACCATTCTTATTTTTCGTAATCTGCAGTAATTATAAAATTATCTCGAAGATAATACACTACAAATGCACAAAGGAATTATCAGTTCATGCAAAAAAAATCTTTGTATTTTACATAATGTATAATGATAATTCATTATGCTCACTTAAATGCATGTGTAACATATTTTGAAGTCTTTATCTAAGAATTCACTATATGTTTTGATTCACATACTTTGTCTTTAAACTTAATTTTTTTATTCATTCCCTTGTTATGATATAGTTTCACAATGATTATCTTGGTTTTCTTTTATTCAGTCAGCATACTTCAGTCACTGTCACACTGAATAATTCTATTCAGACTAACTACTAAGAGATAAAAAGCATATTTTCTGTTAGTGGAAATCCCGAATTTCAATTGAAGACATTCATCACCTATCTGAGTAAGCTGACGAGTAGCTTGTTGCATGTTTCTTGAGTACTATCTTGTAGTTTGGCGCTTACCTTCGCAACACATTGGGCTAATTTGTCCTCATACTTCAGTGTGTGGAGACTGTATGATGACTAGCTAAAAATTTTCGTACTTTTCATGAGTATTTTTATACCACACCACATTTGCTTACTGAGTTACAGTGCTTTTCATTACTTGACTCTCTGAGTGTGTAGCAGTTATATCGCCGTTTTTACAGAAGCTTAATTTACAGGTCTAAGAAGTTCCGAAATTA